CAACGGGAATCGTTGTGTGGCCCCGTCCTCGCTTGGGCGGAGTCGACTTCCATGTCGGGTGTGAGGGGTACAGCCGACCTGTAGCAGTGGGCGAGCTGGTCGACAGGGTTGGTCGACCTGCATGGGGAGCCACTTCAAGGGCGCCGACTTCGGGAGGGCGCCAACTTTGGGTGGTCGATCTGGGAAGTCGACCAGCAGACGGCGTCGACTTGGTGACGCCGACGAGGGGCAGCCGACTTGGGTGGTCGGCAGACAGGAGCACTGGTCGACCTGGTGGTGGTCGACCAGGAGTGACGTCGACCCGGAGTTGGTCGACTGAGGATGTGGTCGACCTGGTGAGGTCGACCGGGAGTGGTCGTCGACCTGGATGGTCGACGGGCACGCACGGGAGCAGCTGGTCGACGTGGTTGCCCGGTCGACCAGGTTACCTGGGTGACGAGGTTCTGCGGAGGAGTGCGACAGTCGCCCAGGTGGTTGCGGCGAGGACCACCTCGGCAGATCCCAAGGTCGACGTGGCTGATCAGTGGCAGCCGTCAGCACGTGGAAGATCTGGTCTGTGCGCTGTGCAGGTGACGAGGCACAGCACGCCAATCATCTGCGAGCACCTGCGAAGCGGGTGCGCTGCTGTTCTGCGGGAGCAACGCTGGCACGCCGTCGACTTGCGTTGTTGTCACGCCGTCGACCTGCAGCGTTGGAGAGCCGCGACTCAGCCGTGCTGGAGCGCGGTCGACCAAGTCGTGCTGGCACGCGGTCGACCATGCTGCGCTGGCAGTCGCCTGGCTTGCATCCTAGCTCTGATGTAGTCTAGCCTTGCCAACTTCATTGTACCATTGTTGTGAACTTTTTCCTAGTGGAACTCTTGCCAATTCTCCCCGTGAACTAGCAAGTAGTGTGCGCACAAGGAAACGACTATGGAACGAGCGCAGAGATCACACGAGCACCCGTGCCTAGCCCGTAGTCTAGCTCCCGTTGTAGTAGTTATCTCCGCATGGTGCGGTGAGCGTGGACGGCACCCGACTTACCTTTTCAGTCAGGTCGACGTGATCGTCACTCCCGAATTCGTGTTCGTAGACCGGCAGCTGTGTAGTCACCGCTGTGAGCGTAGGTGACGCCAAGGGGATGGACACCCTGGAAGAACAGCTGGAGGACGCGAGGACACGCCATGAGGCCCAGGAGTACGGAACGATACCCTGGGCGGTTGTGGAGGCTGGCATTCGCACCATGTGGGCGACGTTGCACCCTCCTCGGCGTGCATCTCCTCGACCGGTGAACACAGAGGGCGGCGTCGACGTGGGTGTCAACGCTGGTGGCGGTCAAGTCGGCAGTAGTGCGGGAGGCACGTCGAGGCAGCGTGGTGTGATTCACGCCGATGAAGTCGGCGGCGTTCAGGCGCGAGGGGTGCGGTCGTCGGCGGCTGCAGGCTCCTCGCGGGGTGATGTCGGAGGTCGACGAAGTGGATCTTCGCCGATGTCGGCGACCCAAGTGACAGCAGGCGGGATTGCACCGAGCTACGGCTATTTCAAGTTTACGCCGGACAGGATCTTGGTCACTCCCCTGCTGGTCGGTCGACCCGACATTCTCACCTGGAAGGAAGCCATCGAGCCTCAGCTGGAGATGGCCGGGCTGATCAACTTTGCTCGCGGTACCGTGGAGGCGCCGGAGGACCCCGACTTACGTGCGGAATTTCGCGCCGTGCAGCTGCTGACCTTCACGGTCATCTCGCGGTGCTGCTCGCCGTGCGTGCAAATCGCCCTGAAGTTGTGCAGGGAGCACCTCGATGCCGGCCACCGGGCGTGGCACTTCATCGAGTCGACTTACCAAGTCACCGACGACCTGTTCATCGCCCAGCTTGAGGGGCAGCTGACGCACCTGCGTATGGGCGACCAGGAGACGGCGACAGACTACTGCAACCGAGCTCGGCGGATTCTCGCCACCATCAGGATGGCCGGCACGGAGTACTCGACGGCGTCGTACGTCACCCACGTCATGCAGGGGCTCCCGAGCAGCTACAACCTGCTGATGTCAGAATATGTTGTTTGTGTAGCCTGCAGTGGGGTACTCAATAGTGAGTACAGCCCCTTAGGATTTGCTATTTGTATCCTGCTGCTTGCTAGTCCAACCATTCCTTCCTCATTTCTGTTCGTGCACACAACTCTCGATCGTACTTGGCGCCTCGTTCTAGTCTTCCTGTGGCCTGGGCTACTAAGCCTAGGCCAGACTACTTAGTATGTTTGACATGGTATCAGAGGGAGGCATGTCTGCCGCCTTCCTGTGTATGGGCCCACCACCTGCTTCCGCTGCCGTACTGTCCGCCGCGCGCCCCGTGGTGCGCGGCGCCGAAATTAGGGTTTCTGCCCGCCGCGTGCTCGGGGCGCGTGGCGGCTTACCCCTCCGTGGCGCCCGTGGTGGTGCCCTCGGGGGTCCGCGCGGCCTCCCCTCCCGTCGTCCGTCGTGGCGATCACGGGGGCCCGCGCGGCCTCCCCTCCCGTCGTCCGTCGTGGCGACCACGGGGGCCCGCGCGGCCTCCCCTCCCGTCGTCCGTCGTGGCGACCACCGGGTCCCGCGCGGCCTCCCCTCTCGTCGTCCGTCGTGGCGACCACGGGGGCCCGCGCGGCCCCCCCTCCCGTCGCCCGTCGTGGCGACCACGGGGGCCGCGCGGCCTCCCCTTCCCGTCGCCAGTCGTGGCGCTCCGGGGGGCCCGCGCAGCGCCCTTCCCGTCGCCCGTCGCGGCGGCTCTGGGGGCCCGCGCGGCGCCCTTCCCGTCGCTTGTCGCGGCGGCTCTGGGGGCCCGCGCGGCGCCCTTCCCGTCGCCCGTCGCGGCGGCCTTGGGGGGCCGCGCGGCTCCCTTTCTCGTCGCCCGTCGGGGCGCCCTGGGGGGCGCGCTCTTCCCCCCCCCCCCCCCCCTTCCTCCTACCTTTCACCTGCAGCGGCCGCCCCTGGAGCCGCCCCTGGAGCAGCCCGCACCTGCAGCAGCTGCCCCTGGAGCAGCCCGCACCTGCAGCAGCCGCCCCTGGAGCAGCCCGTGCCTGCAGCAGCCGCCCCAGGACCCGCGCCAGCTGCCCCTGCAGCAGCCCGCGGCCCGTCCCTGCAGCCCGTCCCGTCCCCCCCCCCCCTCCCCCCCCCCCCCCCCCCCGTGCTGCCCATTGCTCCCATTCCGCCGTGCGTTCCACGGTGGTGGGGGTGTGGGGTGGCGAGCATGGGGGTGCGAGGTGTGGGTGCTCCCCTTCCCTTTCCCCTCCTCCTTTTTTCGTCTCCCACTGCTGCAGCTGCTGCTGAGGGGGGTGGAGGTGTGGGAGCCGCGGGGAGTGGAGCTAGGGGGGTGATGTGGGAGTGGAGCTAGGGGTGCAGCAGGGGGTGTGTGGGGGGGTGTGGGACAGTTGGAGGAGGTTGAGTGGAGGTTGTCGTCGTGTCGTCCGCAGCGCCTGTAGTCCGGGGTTCTAGTGGCCGCCGGTAGCTCAGAGAGCTTGCTGCACCTGTCGCCCGTGGGTCCGTTGCTCCTGCCGCTCGTCGCAGCCGCAGAGCCTGTTACTCCTGTAATCCGGGGCACTAGTCGCCGGTAGCCACTGAGTGCGCACTCCTGTTGCCCGTGTGTCTGCAGCTTCAGTCGTCGCCTCCCATCTTCTCTCCTCTCGCAGTCCCTCCTCCTCACTTGCCCTCTGTGACTGCCTCTAGCTCTGCTCATTAATTGTGAACTATTGCTATGACTGCTCATTGTGCTGATTACACCCCACTTTGGCTATGGAGGTGTGTCAGAATATGTTGTTTGTGTAGCCTGCAGTGGGGTACTCAATAGTGAGTACATCCCCTTAGGGTTTGCTATTTGTATCCTGCTGCTTGCTAGTCCAACCATTCCTTCCTCATTTCTGTTCGTGCACACAACTCTCGATCGTACTTGGCGCCTCGTTCTAGTCTTCCTGTGGCCTGGGCTACTAAGCCTAGGCCCGACTACTTAGTATGTTTGACAGCTGAAGCGGTTGTCGATGGCGCCGAGCACGCGGGCGACGCTCAACGAGGACACGTTGACCTCGTACATCCTGCAGGACGAGGCGATGCAGGAGGCCGAGCGGTCCCAGGAGCTCCTGGCGCAGGTGAACTACGTCGGCCCGGCGAAGCCAGGTGGTCGACCGGGGCAGCGTCGACAGTCTGGCGGCGGTGGTAGCAGTGGCTGGAAGCCGACCAAGGATGCCGACAAGAAGCAGTCGGCCAAGGAAAGCGGCCGAGGAGGAGGAAGTCGACGTCGGGAGTGCTGGCTGTGCGGCGACCCCGACCACCTCTCCTTCGAGTGCCCCGACCGCAGTGACTCCGACGACGACGACGCCAAGGGAGGCCGCGGGAGGTCTGGCAGTCGTCGTCCTCGTCGAGGAGGAAACCAGCCGCGCAAGGAGAAGCAGTCGACCAAGGCGTCGACCTCGGCGAAGGACGCCGACTCCTCTGCTGGCGGCAAGGGGCGAGGCGACAAGGAGGCGTCGTGCTCGCTGGTCGGCGTCGTGGAGCCGACCGTCTCGCTGGCGCCGGAGGCCGGCGAGGACTTCCAGGCGGTGGCGGCAGCTGTGCAGGCTAATCCGGCGGTGGTCCTGCAGCTGGGGTAAGGTTAAAAACTTGACACAAGCGGCTTGCAATCTGGGACCCGGGCTTTAACATACTTGTACATGCTCCTCCAAAGCCATGTATGGGGGAGGAGTTTTTGGCAGGGTAGAATTTGGATGATAATGCTCAAGCAATTGCTACTAAGAATGCAAGTTTGCATTGTGATGCTGATGATTATACAGATCGTGAGGACAACCATGAGGGAAGAGGAGGGAACATGGTGCTTGACACACGCATCCAAATAAAATGAAAGCTCTTCCACTGAACATACAGTGTGGTATTATGGGAGTGCGTTCTCGGTATTATGGGAGATGTGAAGTATTTTCACACGCCCTTTTCTCGCCCCAACAATTTTACAGCTGCTTGTCATACATGTAGTTGCAACTGAGAGACAGAGCATACTTTGTCAAAGAATGGTGCTAGTGTTGAGGTCTTCCTGGTGGTCTTTAGGTCTTCAAACTGCTTGCTGTATGTCCACCTGCTTCCCAACCCAAGCCTGTGGGTAAGGTTTGTCTTGTGCACCTGCTTCCCAAGCCTGGTTGAGGAAAATGGAGTTAAAAATGTTCAAGTGCTGATAGGATAATGTCGGTCCTGTTTGTAGCCTGTAGGCATCAGGTCTGGTTGGTGAGGTGAAAGGTTTGTGGCAGCTGCAATGCAAATGCAGTCCGGTACCCACTTGCTGGTCGGTACCCACTTGCTGATGGGTACCCACTTGCTGATGGGTACCCACTTGCTGATAGGTACCCACTTGCTGATGGGTACCCACTTGCTGATGGGTACCCACTTGCTGATGGGTACCCACTTGCTGATGGGTACCCACTTGCTGATGGGTACCCACTTGCTGATGGGTACCCACTTGCTGATGGGTACCCACTTGCTGATGGGTACCCACTTGCTGATCCGTACCCACTTGCTGATGGGTACCCACTTGCTGATGGGTATCCACTTGCTGATGGGTACCCACTTGCTGATGGGTACCCACTTGCTGATGGGTACCCACTTGCTGATGGGTACCCACTTGCTGATGGGTACCCACTTGCTGATGGGTACCCACTTGCTGATCGGTACCCACTTGCTGATGGGTACCCACTTGCTGATCGGTACCCACTTGCTGATGGGTACCCACTTGCTGATGGGTACCCACTTGCTGATGGGTACCCACTTGCTGATCGGTACCCACTTGCTGATCGGTACCCACTTGCTGATCGGTACCCACTTGCTGATCGGTACCCACTTGCTGATGGGTACCCACTTGCTGATGGGTACCCACTTGCTGATCGGTACCCACTTGCTGATGGGTACCCACTTGCTGATGGGTACCCACTTGCTGATGGGTACCCACTTGCTGATCGGTACCCACTTGCTGATCGGTACCCACTTGCTGATCGGTACCCACTTGCTGATGGGTACCCACTTGCTGATCGGTACCCACTTGCTGATGGGTACCCACTTGTAGTTGCAACTGAGAAACAGAGCATACATTGTCAAATAATAGTGCTAGTGTTGAGGTATTCCTGGTGGTGTTTAGGTCTTCAAACTGCTCGCTGTATGTCCACCTGCTTCCCGAGCCTGGTGGGTAAGGTTTCTGTTGTGCACCTGCTTCCCAAGCCTGGTTGCAGATTATGGAGTTAAAAATGTCAAAGTGCTGAAAGGGTAGTGTTGGTCCTGTATGTAGCCTGTATGCATGAGGTCTGGTTGGTGACTGGTTTGCGGCAGCTGCAAATGCAGTTATAGGCCATTGTAAGGAGTGTAATTTGAATCCACAACTGAGTAGGGCCACCCACTGCCAGCGTACAGATGCCAGGCTGAAGCTTGAGGTCAGGATGCAAGGATCTGGGATAGGCTGTTTGGCTAGAGTGTTGGTTTCATGGATGGGTAGGCTGGTTTACAGATGTCTTGTTGGTTGGTTAGCAGGTTAACTAGTTGCCTGCTTTGCTGCTTTGCTACGTGGCATCTGACCATTTCTGCCCTGCAGTTCCTGCGCAATCTGGAATAACCATGCTTCCTCCTTTAAGAAGAAAGAAATAATAATAATTATTATTATTATTATTATTATTATTATTATTATTATTATTATTTATAATAATCTATGTTTCTTTCTCCGTACTCTTTGTATTTCTACAGAGAAAGTAATGCGTTGTTCGGTTCGGTCAGTATACACGCTTGTGTGAAGGTACAAGGCGGAGCTAGAACTCTAAAATCTCCCAAATTATGTGGATAAAAAAAGGTTAGAACATATTGTTGTTGAAGCAGAAGGCCTAATCTAGTGGACTGGCAAGAATATGGTACTAACTGCATCTCTACAAACATATGTAATGCGCTGGTCAGTTTGATAAGTATGCGCGCTTGTACTACAGGTACAATGTACGATTGGAATGCCTATATCTGCTAAATTACATAAATCTAAAAGGTTAGAACCTGGTTGGGCGGTGGGGAAATGTGTAATCTAGAGGAAAAAGGAAAAATATATGGTACTCTTTGTATTTCTACGGAGAAAGTAATGCGTTGTTCAGTTCGGTGAGTATGCACGCTTGTGTGCAGGTACAAGGTGGAGCCATAACTTTGAAATCTCCCAAATTATGTGGATCGAAAAGGTTAGAACCTAGTTTTGTTGAAGTAGAAGGCCTAATCTTGTGGACTGACAAGAATATGGTACTAAGTGCATCTCTACAATCATATGTAATGCGCTGGTCAGTTTGGTAGGTATGCGCGCTTGTACTTCAGGTACCATGTACGATTGGAATGCCTACATCTGCCAAATTACATAGATTCAAAAGGTGAAAACCTGGTTGGACGGTGGGGAAATGTGTAATCTAGAGGGAAAAGGAAAAATATATGGTACTCTTTGTATTTCTACAGAGAAAGTAATGCGTCGTTCGGTTCGGTCAGTATGCACGCTTATGTGCGGGTACAAGGTTGAGCCAGAACTCTGAAATCTCCCAAATTATGTGGATCGAAAAGGTTAGAACCTAGTTTTGTTGAATTAGAAGGCCTAATCTAGTGGACTGGCAAGAATATGGTACTAACTGCATCTCTACAAACATAAGTAATGCGCTGGTCAGTTTGGTCATTATGCGCGCATGTAGTGCAGGTACCATGCACGACTGGAATGCCTATATTTGTCGAATTACATATATCCAAAAGGTTAGAACCTGGTTGGGCGGTGGGGAAATGTGTAATCTAGAGGAAAATGAAAAACTATATGGTACTCTTTGTATTTTTATAGAGAAAGTAATGCGTTGTTCGGTTCGGGCAGTATGCACGCTTGTGTGCAGGTACAAGGTGGAGCCAGAATTCTGAAATCTCCCAAATTATGTGGATCGAAAATGTAAGAACCTAGTTTTGTTGAAGTAGAAGGCCTAGTCTAGTGGACTGGCAAAAATATGGTACTAACTGCATCTCTACAAACATATGTATTGCGCTGGTCAGTTTGGTAGGTATGCGCGTTTGTACTGCAGGTACCATGTACGATTGGAATGCCTATATCTGCTATATTACAGCGATCCAAAAGGTTGGAACTTCGTTGGGCGGTGGGAAAATGTGTAATCTAGAGGGCTGCGCTAGGCTGGGCCTATTACCAAGCCAGCAAGGTCGTGGGAGGGTTGCGAGCATCATCGGTCATCGACGCTCGCGAATGAAGAGCGCCCGCTGCACTTCCTGCACATGTGCGGATCGTTCCGCGTTTCGGGGGTGGAAGCGTACGTTCCGAGCGTTTTTCTTCTGCCAGGTCACATGGCTACGCTTGTCTAGGCCTATTAGCAAGCCAGCAAGGGTGTGACAGGGTTGCAAGCATCATCAGTCATCGGCGCTCGCGAATAGAGAGCGCCCGCTGCACTTCCTGGACATGTGCGGATCCTTCCGCGTTTTGGGGGTGGAAGCGCTCGTTCCGAGCGTTTTTCTTCCGCCGGGTCATGTGGCTGCGCTAGTCTGGTCCTATTACCAAGCACGCAAGGGCGTGAGAGGGTTGAGAGCATCATCGGCCATCGGCGCTCGCGAATGAAGAGCGCTCGCTGCACTTCCTGTACATGTGCGGATCCTTCCGCGTTTTGGGGCTGGAAGCGTTTTTCTTCCACCGGGTCACGTGGCTGCGCTTTTTTGGGCCTATTACCAAGCCAACAAGGGCGTGGGAGGGTTGCGAGCATCATCGGTCATCGGCGCTCGCGAATGGAAAGCGCTTGCCGCACTTCCTGCACTTGTACGGATCCTTCCACGTTTTGGTGGTGGAAGCGCACGTTTCGAGCGTTTTTCTTCCGCCGGGTCACGTGGCTGCGCTAGTCTGGGCCAATTACCAAGCCAGCAAGGGCGTGGGAGGGTTGCGAGCATCATCGGTCATCGGCGCTCGCGAAGGGAGAGCGCCCACTGCACTTCCTGCACAGGCGCGGATCCTTCCGCGTTTTGGGGGTGGAAGCGCTCGTTCCGAGCGTTTTTCTTCCGCCGGGTCACGTGGCTGCGCTAGTCTGGGCCTATTACCAAGCCAGCAAGGGCGTGGGAGGGTTGCGAGCATCATAGGTCATCGGCGCTCGCGAATGAAGAGCGCCCGCTGCACTTCCTGCACATGTGCGGATCGTTCCACGTTTTGGGGGTGGAAGCGTACGTTCCGAGCGTTTTTCTTCTGCAGGGTCACGTGGCTACGCTTTTCTAAGCCTATTACCAAGCCAGCAAGGGCGTGACAGGGTTGCAAGCATCATCGGTCATCGGTGCTCGCAAATGAAGAGCGCCCGCTGCACATCCTGTACATGTGCGGATCCTTCCGCGTTTTGGGGTGGAAGTGCTCGTTTCAAGCATTTTTCAAACGCCGGGTCACGTGGCTGCGCTAGTCCGGTCCTATTACCAAGCCAGCAAGGGCGTAGGAGGGTTGCGAGCATCATTGGTCATCGGCGCTCGCGAATGAAGAGCGCCCACTGCACTTCCTGCACATGTGCGGATCGTTCCGCGTTTTGGGGGTGGAAGCGTACGTTCCGAGCGTTTTTCTTATGCCGGGTCACGTGGCTACGCTTTTCTAGGCCTATTACCAAGCCAGCAAGGGCGTGACAGGGTTGCAAGCATCATCGGTCATCGGCGCTCGCAAATGGAGAGCGCCCGCTGCACATCCTGTACATGTGCGGATCCTTCCGCGTTTTGGGGTGGAAGCGCTCGTTTCAAGCATTTTTCAAACGCCGGGTCACGTGGCTGCGCTATTCTGGTCCTATTACCAAGCCAGCAAGGGCGTAGGAGGGTTGCGAGCATCATTGGTCATCGGCGCTCGCGAATGGAGAGCGCCCCCTGCACTTCCTGCACATGTGCGGATCCTTCCGCGTTTTGGGGGTGGAAGCGCTCGTTCCGAGCGTTTTACTTCCGCCGGGTCACATGGCTGCGCTAGTCTGGTCCTTTTACCAAGCCAGCAAGGGCGTGGAGGGTTGCAAGCATCATCGGTCATCGGCGCTCGCGAATGAAGAGCGCCCGCTGCACTTCCTGTACATGTGCGGATCCTTCCGCGTTTTGGGGTGGAAGCGCTTGTTTCGAGCATTTTTCTTTCGCCGGGTCACGTGATTACGCTAGTCTGGTCCTTTTACCAAGTCAGCAAGGGCGTAGGAGGGTTGCGAGCATCATTGGTCATCGGCGCTCGCAAATGAAGAGCGCCCGCTGCACTTCCTGCACATGTGCGGATCCTTCCGCGTTTTGGGGGTGGAAGCGCACGTTTCGAGCGTTTTTCTTCTGCCAGGTCACGTGGCTGCGCTTGTCTAGGCCTATTACCAAGCCAGCAAGGGCGTGGGAGGGTTTCGAGTATCATCGGTCATCGGCGCTTGCGAATGAAGAGCGCCCGCTGCACTTCCTGCACGTGTGCGGATCGTTCTGCGTTTTGGGGCAAGAAGCGCTCGTTCCGAGCGTTTTTCTTCCGCCGAGTCACGTGGCTGCGCTTGTCTGGACCTATTACCAAGCCAGCAAGGGCGTGAGAGGGTTGCGAGCATCATCGGTCATCGGCGCTCGCGAATGAAGAGCGCCCGCTGCACTTCCTGCACGTGTGCGGATCCTTCCGCACTTTGGGGCAGGAAGCGCTCGTTCCGAGCGTTTTTCTTCCGCCGGGTCACGTGGCTGCGCTTGTCCGGGCCTATTACCAAGCCAGCAAGGGCGTGGGAGGGTTGCGAGCATCATCGGTCATCGGCGCTCGCGAATGAAGAGCGCCCGCTCCAGTTCCTGCGCATGTGCGGATCCTTCCGCGTTTTGGGGGTGGAACCGCTCGTTTCGATCGTTTTTCTTCCGCCGCGTCACGGGGCTGCGCTTGTCTGAGCCCATTACCAAGCTAGCAAGGGCGTGGGAGGGTTGCGAGCATCATCGGTCATCGGCGCTCGCTAATGAAAAGCGCTCAGTGCACTTCCTGCACTTGTGCGAATCCTTCCGCCTTTTGGTGGTGGAAGCGCTCGTTCCGAGCGTTTTTCTTCCGCCGGATCTCGTGGTTGCGCTTGCCTGGGCCTATTTTCAAGCCAGCAAGGGCGTGAGAGGGTTGCGAGTGCGGAGATAACTATTGCAACGGGAGCTAGACTACGGGCTAGGCACGGGGCAAGGGTGATCGTAGCGTTCGTTCGTTCCTTAGTCGTTTCCA